CCGTCGTCGTGGGAAGCAGAAACAGGAGCGGCGGTTTCACTGCTCGGTCTGTGAAATGCAAAACAGAGTGAATTAGTTGCAGAGAATGGTTGGGTTAGGGAGTGAGAACAGAATGGGAGGTTGTGGAGAGAAGGATTACGGCGTGAAGAGGCGGAGAGTGTTGTCGTCGGAAGAGGTGAGGAAAGAGGAACCATCGGGTGACCTAGGAGAAAAGCAGAAGTTGAATTAGGAATTGAAATGCATGAGAGTGAGGAAGGGAGTGAGGGGTGTACCATTTAACGGCCTTGAGGAAACTGTTAGGGTTGGTGGGAGAGATGAACTGGCGGTGGAAATGGTAGGTTCTGTGAGGAGGGACATCGAAGCGAAGCGCGGGGAAGGAGTACTCTTCGTTGGCGTTGGATTCGGATTGAAGCGCCTCTTCTACTTTTTCTTCTCCCATTGCTACAGCACAACTACGCTGCTCCTGCTCCTGCTGGAACCTCTTTAACTAAAACCGCCAAAACTCACTCCCTCTCAATCTCATGCTTGCAATTTTTATTTTATTTTTTACTTCTTTTTATTAATAATAATTTTTTACTCACATTTTAGATAAATCCGATATAAATTAATATTAACCAATGATTTGAGGTTTTTTTTTACAGCACAATAATTTTGGATTATGATAATAAGATTCCATTAGTTTTACCTTTTTTTTAAAATTATTTTTATTTTAAAAGTATTTAAAAAATTTATTTTAAATCAAAATAAGATTGGTTTTTTAAAATAAAAAAAAGTAAGTAATTTCTTAAAAAATTATAATTATTTATTTCTTAAAATATATAAATATTATAAATAAAAAAACATTTTTAGGAGTTGTTTTTTTAAATGTTCTTAGAGATTTTTTTAATGAAAATGTTTTTTTTAATTCTTCACATCTTGTTATTTCTTCAATACATCATTTTCATTTTTTATTTTTAAATTCTATTTTAATATTTTAAAAATATCAATAATTTTAACTTGTCTTGATATGTCATCAACTCATTTTTAAATAAGTCAAAATAAAATAATAAATGCATGCTAGCTAGCAGGTTGAAATTCCTACTTAACTCGCCTAAATTAATGGGCTAAAGGAATAGTTTCAACAAATTTATCTTTGATATCTCTAAATACAACAACTTTTTTTTTAATAAAATGATAATAAGAAGATTTGAATCTAAGAAATGCAAGAGTTATCCAAACTCCAATCACAAAGTCAATTATAATAGTTTTTAATACGGTATGCTTTAAATAAATAGATTGAATGATGATCCATAAAAATTATTAATAAATAGAGTGGATGGTTTTTTTAATAAAATGAACTATAAATACATTGATTTTTATAGTACATTTTGTTGAGAAATTATTTTATAATTTAAAATTTAAGTTAAATATTTAATTTAATTAATCTTTGTTTTATTTAATATTTGTAAGTTTCAAAAACAAAAACAAAAACCGTTTGAATTGCAGTATGCACGTAACCAATAGTCTTTTTCTTTTTCAAATTGGTTATTAACCACGATGTCTTTTGTTTTTAACCGTTGGGTCTCGTAGTTACAGAAAATTGAGGTATCATGTTGCACTCCTTATTATGCATACAACACACTAATACTGCATATATATATGACTTACGTACGTCAGGAAAATAGGCTCTCTACGCACACTGAAAACTCACATATCTTTCTTTATAAATTATTTTCTACTATTAATTTTGGAGCGGTGTTCTTTAGTTCGGGGATCTTTCACTGCATTCGAATGATCTAAGGATAAGAGCGCATTAAAAGACTTAAAATTACCAGTGCAGTGGGGGCGTTTTCTCTCTAAGAATAGTGTTCTGCGTGCTTCAACCCAGGCTACTCTAAACCTATTATTCAATATTTTAATTTGTTCTTTGTGTTTAATTAGTTGTTACTAATTGCTCTATTTTAATTTACAATATTCATTGTGTTGTTGATATATTGGTTTTATTGATAAATCTAAATATTTTATTTTTTCTTGTGCTCTATTAAATTTATTTTATAACAATCTTAGAGAGAAAAATTTTCTTTTCTTATTCAATATCAACATGTCTACAATGGATATTTTAAAGTCTTTGAGTAGTAAGCCAAAAAACTTTACGGGTGAAAATTTTTTTATGTTGGCAACAACAGATGAAATTTTGGCTTACAGTGGAATTTATTTTCTGTTATTTTAAATGGAAAATCTGAAAATTGTCCTGATTGTACCTTGGTTGAAGCTAGTTCTTCTAGTGATAAAGATATTTTGTGTCATGGTCATATTTTGAGTGCTCTATCTGATAATATTTATAAAATATTTTGTCATATAAAAACTGTTTTGGAGTTATGGGACGCTCTTGAACTAAAGTATGATTTTGCTGAAAAGGGTTTAAGAAAATACTCTTGTGAAAGAATGATTTATTTTCAAATGGAAGATGGAAAACCTTTCTTTGACCAAGTTCATAAGTTTGAAAATATTATTTATGATATGAAAATGAAAAAAATTACTTTGCCTGACATAATGCTTGTTAGTTTGTTAATTTCTAAATTGCCTCCTTCTTGGTCTGAATTTGCAAGAAGCCTTAAGCATAAACCCGATCATTTCACTTTATCTGATTTATTGGTTACATTGCGAATTGAAGATAAACATCGTATTTCACAAAAGGATTCTAATAAATCCCTTTTTTCAGGCTAAGGCTCATTTAGTGGAAAACGCTAATAAGCCTAAACAAAAAATTTTTAAAAAATCTGGTTTTTCCAATAATAATAAGTTTGGTCAAAGCTCTCATTTCTCCAGAAATAAAAACAAAGCTTTTAATAACAACTACAAACCAAAGAGTAAAATTCAAGAAAATGAGTCTTTCTGCCTTGTTTGTGGAAGAAACAATCATTTTGCTAAAGATTATTTTCATCGTCGTCGTCAACCAAAAGACATTACATCTAATCCCAAATCTTCATCTCAGCCTCAAGCTGATGTTATTACCACTAATGCTAGCTCGGATGGACCACTTGTCTCTCTGGACTATCAGAGACATCACCCTTAAGTATACGAAACATACATATACTCAAAATTTTGATATTATGCGCATATAACCTCCAACCATTCACTTTCACTGCGAAGCAGATATTTGAGTAGTTCCTCTCACTGCGAAGTAGATTTGAGTAGTTTATATATATATATATATATATATATATAGGGGTTATAATAACACCTTATTAAGTATTATATCACTCAATAACTTTATATTAAATGTGAATTTTGTAAATCCAACCGTTAGATTGAAAGTTCTTATTCTTATATTATATATACAAAATTTTATATTAATCCAAGATGATTTAATACTTCATTCTTATAAGATAAAATTGACGTAATATATTTATTTCAAAATATACTAAAATATGAACACTTTGATTACCATCAAGTTGTTGTTCAATTTTATATTGAGCAGTGTAATACTTAATAAAAGTTACATCAATGTAATTATAACCCCTCTCATATTTACTAAGAGTAAAAAACTTTCAATCTAACAGTTGGATTTACAAAATTTACGATTAATATAAAGTTATTGAATGGTGTAATACTTAGTAATAATTACACTGGTGTAATACTTAGTAAAAGTTACACGGGTATAATTATAACTTTATATATACAATATTTTATATTAATCCAAGATCATTTGATACTTCATTCTTATAAGACAAAATTGACGTAATATATTCATTTCAAAATATACTAAAATATGAACACTTTGATTACACCGGTGTAACTTTTACTAAGTATTAAACTGGTATAATACTGAATTTTAAAATTTTTACACTCATTCAAAATCATAATAAATTTCTTAATTTTTAAAGAATATTTTTTTATTATATTATCTTAGTTTTACCTAATAAATAAATAAATAATATATATATATATATTAACTATCAATATATAAATGAAAATTAAGAGTATAATTGAAAAAAGGAAGTAACAAATACTGAAATTTAGAAATAATAAATAAATAGAAGCAAAACTAAAAAAAAAAAGGAAATAGAGAATATTATTAATTGTTGTAATTAACAAGGCAGATCAAACTTCAAAACTAGTTATATGATTTAGGTGGTATACTCTGTTCATAAGTAAAGAAATTGCCAGGATCAACCTTGGTTTTCACAGCCACTAATCTGTCAAAATTCTCCTTAAAGAACTTGGTTCCATAAGTAGTCCGAGCGACGTCCAAGTCTTTGGAACTACTAGGATGTTTGGCACCAACATCAATATCCCTATAATTAAGAAACACTTCCCTTGGAGAGCTTGAAACATAAGGGGTCATAAACTGATAAAACGACCTCGACTTGTTCAGATTAAGATTAGCGGCCTCATCACCATCTTGAGGCCAAAACGTAAAGTACTGAACCAGGAACAGGTTCCCTGCTCTGTGAGGAAATGGGGTTGCATTGGATGAAATCTCATCCATGGCCCCTCCATAAGGGTTCCATTGCATCCACATGTTATTAACTTTAACCATCATAGACCAAATGGAATTCAAAGCCTCCTTTGGGATGGGGGTTTTCACATAGTCTGATTTGCCCTTAGTGTAGATCGAAGGTGGCTCCTGATCGGTTGGTAACAAAGCCTCAATGGGAGTACCAATTGGGAGATCAAACCAAAAGAGAGTGGTATTAACCCATGGCATTTCTGTGCAATCACTTTGCTTCAAACCCAATTCAGGGAAACTCTCATTCACCAAAGGAAGAAGCCTATTAATTTTGCCCAAGAATTGCCCGATGAATGAGACCACCACTGTTCCATTCACCACATCGGGTTCGACCCTAATGAAAAGATCTTTGTCTAGCTTGGTTGCAACATGTTGCCATTTGTATACAACATCGGTTGCACCTTCCGCCACAGATTTTTTGACTCGGAAGACCGTCACCTGAGGAGGCACAGGGACCAATTTGATCTTCCATGCAACAATGACACCAAAACTGGCCCCACCACCACCTCGTATGGCCCAAAATAGATCCTCCCCCATTGTCTTTCTGTTAAGAACATAACCATTGACATCAACCAACGTTGCATCAATGATGTTATCCACAGAAAGACCATATTTTCTCATCAAATTCCCATACCCACCACCCGAGAAGTGGCCACCAGTACCCAAAGTGAAACACACCCCAGCAGGGAAAGCATGAACATTGCTTTTGTTTGCTATTTGGTAATAAAGTTGACCAATCGTGGCTCCAGCTTGGACCCACGCAGTGCCACTTTTCAAGTCCACGTCAATCGATTGAAGAGGAAACATGTCGAGTACCACATATTTGACGTCGGAGACATACGAGAGACCCTCGTAGTCGTGGCCACCGCTTCGGATTCTGATCTGAATGCCGTTCGATTTGGCGCATGTAACCGTTACCTGGACTTGAATCACGGATTTGGCGGTTATGATGGCGAGGGGTTTCGCTGAGGCTTGCGTTTTGAAGCGTTTGTTATGAACGTGCAGGTTCAAGATGGAGGTGAATGAGGCGTTTTGTTGGGTGTATGTGACTCCGGAGACGCCAGCGTTTGGAGATTGAGAAATGCATGAGAGGAAGTTTTTAATTTCTGGGTATTCATATTGAGGATTTGCCTGGGAAACAGACACCATGAGCATTAGGGTTGTCAGAAAGAAAGTGAAGAACCCCATGGTTAGAATTAGAATGAGACACCACCCATATGCATTGCATTCAATATATACTCATGTCTCCTCATAAATTATTAATGGAGGATCTCCAAAATTTATTTTTGGAAAACGAAAAGAAACTACGGAGTCAACCTTTTGTGCCCTCACGTTGTCAAGGCAGTTTCATATATAGTAATTCAATTCTAAATTATTACTCCCTCTCAACATGTATAAAGAGAATCTAACAATTCCTTTAGTCTCTATTTTTGAGTCGACCATTATACTTCTTAAAATATTAAAAAAAATATTCTTATATTTTTTCTAAATAATTATATACAATTTTTAATATTTGTTTGTGTGTAATTATTAGAGGTACGAGGTGCCTCGATCCCTCTAATATATATAAAGAGAATGATTATAATAATGTAACTTTTACTAAATATTACACCGCTCAATAACTTTATATTAAATATAAATTTTGTAAATCCAACCATGATTATAATAATATCTTTTATTAAATATTATACCGCTCAATAACTTTATATTAAATATAAATTTTGTAAATTCAACCGTTAGATTAAAAGTTCATATCATTTTATATGTATATATCAAATTTTGTTAAAATTGAACAATAACTTAAAGACAATCAAAGTGTTCATATTTTGATATATTTTGAAATGAATATATTACGTCAATTTTGTTTTATAAGAATGAAGTATCAAATTATCTTGGATTAATATAAAATTTTGTATATATGATCTAAGAGTTTAATATAAAATTATTGAATGGTGTAATACTTAGTAAAAATTACACCGTACACATATGTATATATATATCCCTCCACATATATATATATATATATATATATATATATAACATTTTCATATATATTAAAAATTTAACTGAATATATTTAATTTTTAAAATCTTACATATAATATGTATTATATTTCTTAAAATATCTTTAACTATATTTATGATTGATAGTATTCTAAATTTGTTTATATTTGAATTCAATTTTTTTTTTGTTTGTATATAGTTTAGAGATGTTCAACAATAATTGTAATTTAAATTTTTTTTTCACAGATTAAGGATAACAAAATACATATATTAAATATAATTTTGAATTAAATAGTTCGCTTCATAGTATCTTTAATTGTAATAGTTAAATAATTTATAAAGAATCAACTTAAAAAATAATAATTAATATTATATTAAAAGTAAAAATATAGTTAAAGACATTTTTTTAAATATTATAACTAAAGTTATTGTAGAAAGAAGAGAATATTAAACCCTAAACTCTAAACTCAATTAATATTATTTTGTACGACAACTAAAACTCTTGCAAATCGTGGTTAAAGAAGAAAGGGGTAGATTACACCGTCAAATTAATGAAGAGAGATATTGCATTAAATGAAAAAGTTTTATTGTTTGCAGCAAATGTCAAGTGTTTTATTTATCAAGTGTTTTTCATATAAAATACCAAAAAATTATAAGAGCTTTTATTTTCAACGGTAACAAAAAATTAAAGTTAGGGTAATGACTAAGACACAATAATCAATCACCAATCTTATTAAAAAAAAATTTAATAAAATTATAAATTATTATCAAATTTTTGACACAAATCTACATTAAAAAATATGAAAAATTTCATTATGAATATTAATTTTATTAAAGATTATTAATTTCTATTTTAAATTGTCATAGTATAGAAATTTTAACAACTTATTTCGATAAAATAATCACATATTTGGAGATGTTTGAGAGAGTTTATATACAAAATTTATTTATGAAAGTATACATATTGATAGTGGTGAAAAATTATTTTAATAATATTATTTTTATTTAAAAAAATGTTTGATCTTAAATGAATTAAAAAAATTATGTGTTATAAGATTTGATATATATATATATAATAGTTAATAGTCGAGTTAATTACGATAAATTAGCACACAACATTACATTAAGAGATTATTTTAATTAGTAAAAAAAGGTTTTATGAATTTTAAAACATTTATAAAAATTTAATAATTTTTAAGATTTTTTTAAAAAATATTATAGAAATGTAATAAATTTTAAGATTTTTTTAAAAAAATTTTATAATCAAGATTTTGGAAGATTTCAAAAGATAATATGAATTTTTCTAAAAAAAGATATAATTAATAAAAATTAACATATATATATATATATGATAAAGTTTGAATAAAGAAAAATAAAATAAATATTTTTTGTAATATTTTAATAAATAATTAATTTTAATTTCATGTCTTCCTAAGTAATATTTCTCTACATATAATTTTCTGTGCATTTATATTTTTTCATTCATGTTATTAAATTTAAACTAAATGTTCAAATTTATAATATTCATTAACTAGTAGAATTATCAAAATATTTTTAATATTTGTATAAAAATTTGATATTTCAATATTAAATTTTATTAAAAATAAATAGGTGTTAAATTTTAATAATTTAGAATTTTAATAATAGATAATAGTTATTTATTCAAAAATAATATTTAATATTTAATAATTAAAAAATATTGATAAACTATACATTAATTGTAACAACTCGTCGTGGTTGTCATACTGTGTGAAATCACTACTAATAGCGAAAACTAAATTACTAGAACGTACAAGATTAAGGGAAGAGACATAACATACATATATATAATATGAGTATATAAGTAAAATAATCAAAATCATATAAATAGGAAGTATACAATCATCCCAAATAATCCTATGTTCTAGTACCAGTCAAGCACACCTATACAAAGCACTCTATCTGCAACAATTTCTCTAAGCCTAGCCTTGATTTGCTATCATACAACGTATGATCATTGCAGTCCAAACCACCTTGAAAACAGAAAGGATAAGCTAGTGTTCAAAAACATGTAGATATATAAAGCAAGTCTATAATATACAACATCACGCCTTATATCATACATGAAAGCTAACACACCCAAAGTAATCATGTACCTTATCCAATCATGTCCCAAAAAACATCAACAATGCATATGAATACACCTCAACATACATCATATGCAAACATATCAACTAATGTGTCGTCATACATTCACCTACGGAGGTCTCCTAACAACATGAGAAGTCTAAGTGATTTTCACCTTACCAAAACCAACCAAATCGTTTTTATGCCTGAAGCGTCAGCTTGATCACAGTAAAATAGGATACCAACCCCTCCTCTGGCTTCTCGGGTCTCATCACTTACACTAGGAAAGTTTGGTTCAACCGACAAGAGTAGTACAACTAGGTATAGGTTTATCATAACCTTGACATGCATTACCAAGTCACATATGGAATTCCCCCACTAACTATCCTCAAGAAACCACACAACATTTCCAAGTACTTAGTTAAAGGTTGTAACCCTCGCCTTCTTACCTTACTCAGTCACTAACTAAGGACTTGGAGGAGATTCAACGCACCTCAAAACCTACTCCAAGATACACACCCTCATGGAGGGTTTTCCAAATAACAACTTACCCGAGCTCCACTCCAAGATACCCTATGTGGGATCTTTAGTTTCCAAAATAGTTTTCTCTCCTCAAATCCGAAGTTAGCCATCATGTTTTAATGTCACACCGCATGCTCGGTATTTACACCTCATCATGTATCTACTATATACATCACATTTAGTCAAATCATATAGAGATCAATAACATCAATCATGTACAACATACCAATGCTTAACACCTCAACCAAGAATAGAATACCAATGCTTAATAATTCATACAATAATAGTATATTAATGCTCCACAATTCATTCAAACATAGCATGTCAATCATAAATAGCATACTAATGCTCATCATCATTTCAAGTACACAAAGATAACATACCAATGCTCATTATCATTTCAAGTACACAAAGATAGCATACCAATTCTTACTATCACCATCCTACATCATAAAACATGTAATAGACACAAGTACTCTATTCATGTTCACCAAATTCACCCATCATACAACATGGATCAACATATAACTTATCCTACACCAACAACTTTCACATAAAATGACACATAGGAAGTTCTACTACTCCTATCATGCTCATTCTCATCTCATATGAAAGCAAGAAGATTTTCTACAACTGTCATGAAGAACCCAGGTTCTAATTCCCTTATTTACCATGTTAAAAATTGTTAAAATTGCAACAATTTGTCTAAATGTTGACAGTTTGACCTTCGCTTATTAAAAAGGTCATAACTAGAGTTCTAGACCTTATTTCTAGATGATTTAAATGTTATTGGAAAGCTAACATTCAAGGCTACAACTTTCATGAAGACCTCAAGATAAAATTTGATCATCTACCCTCGTGTTGTAGCACTCAATTCAGTGTTCCAATGTTGGATTTCTACCAGCTTTGTTTCTACTCGAGGTTATAGTGCTAGATTTTTGCCATATCAGTTTTCTCCCAAGGCTACAACACTCAACTTAATGTTGCAGTGCTGGATCTTTGCCACCTTGTTTTCTCTCACATTTGTAGCGTTTAGTGTAGAATTTTCTACACTTTCACAGCTTCCCCCCTTCGTTCCTCAACTATATTTCACCAATTTTCTCCCTAAACATGATCTACACTCATAATTTGTACTAAATTCCTTCATGAAACCTAAAAATCACAAGAAATTCAACATGCATGCATCAAAACTTCAAATGAGATCATCAACATTTAACCTTCCATCAAGAAAACCAAACCTTTAATTAGTATTCAACATGCAATCAGTTCGAATTCCTTTCCCCAAGCTACAAATTTTCATAAATCCTACCAATTTTAAGTCTTAATTCATTCAACAACCCCACATGTTAACCAAAAATCCAAGATTTCTATCTTCTCTTACCTTGATTCCAAGCTCTTCGAGGAAGAAGAAGAAGAGAATAGAGAACTTTGGGCTACTCCGAGGTGGAAGAAGAGAAGGAGAAGGAAGTGGACTCTAAGCTCCAACAACTCAAGTCCCACAGCTACACATGGGATTCTCATCAGCTCCAAGTCTCAAAGATCTTCCCTTAAGAATCTGAGAAAAGAAAGAGAAGTGTTTGGT